TATTTTTTATTACGTTCACGTGTCGATATATAATGTCACTTGCGACTCGATGTATGTAACGAAATATTACGTGTAATTCGGAATCGTTAACTTGGCTTCCCCTTATTATTTGTACTCGTTACAAATAATGGTTGGGTTGTCAAAAAAATCGCTTACTCTTAAGCTTAACGCCAAACAGATATCAGACATTGGTTGCTGAATCGAACAGCTTCGTTCAAACACGTTTGAGAATTTAAAAATATTACCAATGATATTGAAAAAAGAAAATTTTAAACATTCGATCGAAATAATCGAAATAGAAAATCGTAGACTAATTTTTTGAATGAATTGGATTTAACGAATCATAATTATACAATGTAACAAAATTGGATGTAAGAAAATTTTTGTGAATTTTTTTGAACGGTTATTGAATTTTATTTTTATAATTAATCAGTTGTAATTGAATAATTAATGCATATATTAGTTAATGCATGTTCGAAATTTCTCTTTTGAATAATATTTTTTATACTTCTATTCAATTTCTTTTCGATTTTTTTGATCGAAAGAATAAACGATAGCCTCGTTAAATCTCGCATTGAATTTGTAAAAGAAAAAAGAGTTTAAAAAAGACAGGAGAAACTAAGTTGGATGGGGAAGAGCAACGTTAGTCAAACTGAATGCAATGGAACAAGACCATCAGGTCGGATTACGACGCGACAAGATGCAAGCGAAGTTTTTCTCAACTTTCCATTTAAGCAATTTAACAATTTATGAACCACGAACCTTGAACATCGTGGAAACACAAGATTCACTCCTCTTTTCGCTTTATTCTCATCTCGGCTTTCATCAACCATCGAACGATGTAATTCCATCCCTTTGTTATCCTTCAAATTGTTTCACTATTATCGGCTGAACAAACAGCTGCTCTATTATCATTGCTATTACGATCGTGTTATAATATAACAACCGCGATACACGTTCTCTTGTGTGTTCTAACGTGCATAAATTGAATTCTTCTCAAACGAGAAACTCTCTACTTACGATCCCTCTTTATGCTTCATTTTCACGCTTGTTTGTCAATTCAAATCCGTCTCGCTTCAGCTTTCATATTTTTTAACTAAAATCCTTTGTAGTCGCTTCTTAAAATTATCTTCAAAATTTCTTGATTTTCTATCGTTCTCTCGTCATTAATATTAATTATTTTTTTTTTTTTTCTAACGAATACAAGTGATCGTCGACAAGAGAATTCAGCGAATGATCTAATGCAAATGCGTCTTTATTACTTTCAAACCAGTCGTGCTCAAGAGACAACAATATAATATTCTGATTAACTAAAAGACAATGTACGGAAACACCATTGCCTGGAAGATATGAATGAAAATTGGTAGAATCTTGAGTTGAAGATAAATAGATTGAACGGATAAAATGACACCTGGTGAGACGGTTTATAACAGTATATACATATATTCGGAACTAGTTCAAAGACACTGATTTGCGATACACATCGGAGAACACTCTTCGACTTCTGACGACCTTTCCGCCAAGTTACCATGATGCATATCGTTGTAAACTCTCCAGTATGAATACGTAGATTTGGTTCGCGCTGTCTTGTTTCCGTTATATCTCTTGTTGGAAAATGTAGCTTCGGTCCTTTGAAATTGTGCGGCCGACCAGTCTCTTAATCAAAGTTGACAAAATTACTTTCTGCGCTACTTTAGGATTTATTTGCAAACAGAAATTACGAGCGGAAACGATGGAAAACCTGTGGACCGACAATTCCACGTCTTTGTAATACGAAAAACTGATTTCACTGTGCGAACGATTAACAAAGAACAATACGATCGAGTTTCGGTTAATTTATCCTATATCCGCTCGAAGAAAATATTTATCATGAATGATAAAGAGATTTTTTTTATGCTTTGATCATCTTTCAAAATAAATTTCCTTAGAAATAAGAAAAAATTTCTTTATTGTGTTCTTTTTTTATAAAAAAAGTGCTAAAATTTGAGACCTATCGTATCATAAATAGATATATTTGTTATTTAATCATTTGATAATTATTTGAAATACCATTGCGAATTAACAATGAATAATATTGTATAAAGCAACGATTAATAATTTTTTATTTTTGAGAATAAAAATTTCTTTCGAATATAATTTTTATTAATTTTTTTTCAGTATAATTTTTTTTTTGATTTAGAAATTTTCACAAAAATTGTCTTTATAAGAATATTTTTATTATCTCCGGAATTATTAGACGTACAGCTCTTTTTTTTTGTTATTTTATTTAAAAGTAAAAAAGTTGATCTTTTAATGAATTTTCTATTTTGATTTGTTTAATTTTTCCAGTAAAATAAAAATATTAAAATTATAATATTTGCAAGAACCAAAAAATTCAAAATATCTTCTTGAACAATAGTGTTCGTGAATTAGAGAAATGAAATTTGAAAAGGAACGAATGTATTTCTTTCAAATTGTTTAAGACTCGAATCGAGTTATAATTTACAAAATTATAAAAATTGATAGAAATAAAGTAAAAAGTTATTAAAAAAGAATAATTTTTTTGTGAAAATCTAGTAATTTTAGTAATAAAAATATTCGTTGCTTAACGTCAATCAAAAATTATATTCTGCATTATATCTTGTCTTTTAAAAATTTCTTCTGTATCCAATTTTAACGATATTCCATTATCCAATTATACGAAAGATTCAATATAAAATAATAGTTCTAAAATTGCTATTTTCCATTTCATCTTTTATTCCATTCTTTCGATTCGTTTCTAATGCCTCTACAATATAGCCGAAAAATCCTAGCTACCGGTTACATTTCTCAACTATTGTGCTACCCTGACAAGATTAGAATAGGACAAGATTAGAATAGGAGTTGATGAATGGCGAAAACTGAAAGACACGATCACGCACAATTCCAACGATGGATGCTGAACGTTTTCCACGATAGATAGTTTCGCGGTCGGCTAACTTTTCTCAGATATCCGTAGGAACGTATAAGTTCGCCGTGGCCCAACTAAAAGTGAAAATTTTCGCGCGACTGCCACCCATAAATTTCGAACTTTCGTCGTGGATAAAGCGACGTGTCTCTCCACTCGCGGAAACTTTCCAGCTGGCAAAAGAAGCGAGACACACAGGAACGTCCAGCGTTTACGCGTAACAAAAAAGATACTGGATGGAGAGAAAAGAGTCTGAGAAAACTGGCTGGATGAAAGAAGCTTTCTTTCTTACAAAGCGAGCAAACTATTTCTTCCGTGAGAACGATATTTCATAATTATCATTGTCCATTTGCCTTTTTTATTTTTCGCATAATTATTATGATTGTACGAAACCCTTTCTCACGATGGCAGTGGCAATATTGACGATTCTAGAAAGACGTTTGCTCGCATTTTTGATAAGATTGGAAAAGTAACTGAGACATAATTATAACATTTTGGCTTTTCAAACATTTTAAATTCGATGCAATTTTTTTTTAATATTATTTTCTATTTTTTCGTTATAATTTTATATTATATTTAATTAATTTATATTTAATTATATTTAATTATATTTAATTATATTATATATTATTTTAATTATATTAATTATATTTTTTTTTTTTAGTTATAACATTATATTATTTTCTGTCGAAATACAATTTTAAAAATATTATATTTTTCAAGTTTTTTTTGCACAAATCAACTAGTATTATTTTTTGTTTATTTTCATTATATTATTTCATTTCTGTTCATTTACTTAAAATATATATTCTCTCTACAATATAATATATAAAGTATATACTAGAAATCAATATCTAATTCTAATATTAAAAAAAAAAAAAAAAGAAAAAAGAAACAAAGATTAATTTACAGATTTTATAACGAACATTTTATAACTACAATAAATAAGAAGCTGTACGCATAATTACATTATAAACATTGGAACTCATAAACAAGATGATAAATGCACTTTGGTAAATGGCGATAAATAAATAATGTATTCTGAATTTGCCATCGTTGGCGAATCATTCTCAGCGAATGTTCGCTTTTTGGACGTTACTGAAGAGAGGATGTCATCAAAATGAAACTGTGCTTTCTGTTTGAGACAATCTATATATTTGTGTGTCAATCCACAAATATTTTCAAATATTTTCTTATCATTATATTTTCTTTTTATTGAAAATATGCTATTTTTCTTGAAACACACTACTTTTTTATTTTACAATTGTGTTTTTTTCGACGAAACAACATTTATGTATTTGTAACATATATTACTTATTATATGAAATTCACTGTATCGCTATAATATAAATATTATTTTACATTATTATATATAAAGAACTTCGCTTAACGAATTTCCTTACTTTGTATAATTTTTTCAAAACGAGCAAAACAATGAACGAATAAAATATGCGTCAAAGCTGATATGATTTTCTACCGTGTATCGCTCATGAATTTCAAAATATTTTTAAACTTTTTAAACTCCGTACTCGTGTGAAAAGTGGATTGCTCGTAGAAAATTCGTCGCAATATACTCAAGGCAAGATTGGTCTACGAATAATTATGCGACTATCTCGTTGCTACAATAATCGCAATAACATTCTCAGTAGCAATTAAACAATACTTAAATTTCCGTTTTACATCATTTATTATGCAACGTATAAATAACCAACGTATGAATTCATTTGTACAATAATTATTATAATATTAACGAAATAGAAAATACGACGAATCCTCGAAAATTCGAGAGCGATTGGATGATTTTTTTCATTGATCATCATGATTTCTCGTTATTCTTTCAATCTTTAGTTAGTTATTAATTTTAGTTTTCTAGTTATTAGTATTAGTTATTAGTTTTCGTCTAATTTTATGTTTGATTAAAAATTATTATTATTTTCTTTTTTCGTGTAATTTTCATTTTATGAATTCATTAATTAAGAACAAGAGAAAAAAGAAATATCAGAAAAGAAGCATTCTTATCTTCATTCTATTTCCTTTTCTCTTTTTTTCTCATCTTTACTGTTTTTTTCTCCAGAATGTTGGCAGCTGGTAATAAAAACCATGAACATACCATCAATGGTGAAAGCCGACGACACCGATTACGTGATTCTGGACTGCGACTACGATCTCGAGGACACACCGAGCAAGGGATTAGTCGTAAAATGGTTCTTCAACGCCAACGAAGTGGCTTACCAATGGATATACGGTAGGGACCCTTTGGCCGGGGACATCACGCGGAAGTACGTCGACCTGAAGTACAAAGCCAGCGACGATCCGTACACCACGTATCGAGCCATGAAATTGAATAAGCCCGGTATCGATCTTACTGGCGAATACAAGTGCGTCATATCCACTTACGCGGACGAACAGTCCGCGAGTTCCTCCATGGTTGTGTATTGTAAGTATCCATTTATTAATCTATTACTATTACTATTCATTTACTATCTTTTATCCCGATTTATGTCGGATCGATTATCTTTTTTGTTATCGTAGTTACGCGATTTTCTTCTCTTTTAATTTTTTTTCTCTCTTTCTTTTTCATTCTTTTCTATCTCTATTAATTGTAATTTTTTCGTTTCTCTATTAGTTGAAATCCACCAACGATTTAGGACTTTTTAATGAACTTTCTTTCATCATCAACTTTTTTAATAAAAAATAATAAATAACGAATTTTGCATTATATAATTTTGATATTGATTTTAAATTAAATTCTATTTAGTACTTATTAAAAAAGTTATTATTATTTAGTACTTATTACTTATTATATATTAAGAAAAAGCAATTATGATTAATGAAAAAAACGATACTATAACTTTTATTAACATTCATTCTTAATATTTGCCATATGTGTTTTTACAATTATAATTGGATATGTTCAAATTCGGAAAAGTTTAATCTTTCAAAATTTAATTATCGCTATTTTTATAACAAGAATATTGCTATCTTATTATGAACAGTTTTTTTATTTCTATCATAAACTTCTCAAGTCAATAAATCGTTATTATTTATTAATCAAATGATAGTCGACTAACTTATTACTTCTATCGCTTTAATTATATCTTCGCTTTAATTGTTATTTTTGTATGTATACGTAGTACGCGTATAATTGAATTTATTTCGTTTTATTTTATTTAAATAGGAAAGCATTTCAAGTACCTTCCGATGCATCTCAAGCAAACCGATTATAAATTACAAAATTTCTATAAAACTCTCATACTCGATAAATTTAATGAAACAAAATTTTCACATTTTCAAAATCTTATTTCTTTTTAAATTTAAACTTATATCTATTTATAAGATAAAATACGATATAATATTATTCCAATGAATTCGCAATAATTAAATATTTAAAGATACAAATTTCTTTCTTCCTCTGTTTAACCAGCTGATTCGATTGCACCATTGTGTTAAATATTGAAATCTTAAATCGCAATATCGATGTCAACGATATTAACCGAAATATTACGTCGGAACGTATTATCTCAGATTATTAATATAATCCATAGATTATCGATACTTTTCTTTTTACCTACGATATGAAAATTGAGATCTTGGATATCGTTGAGTCAGAAAGTAATTACGTTACCTCTTTCTCGACCTCTGCTCACTTCCTGTTGGGGAATCGATCCTTAAGGAACCGTTTAAAATGTTTCAAAAAAGAATCGCTATGGTCGGTCACGTTTCTTCGACAAGAAGAATATTATCGGTAAAGTACGACATAATTTCTCTTTTATCTATTGTCATTCGAAAAAGGGGTAATTTTCGGAGTGATTTAGAGCGAAAATAATAGCAGGGAAACGGATAAAATCGAGAGCACGAATTTCAATATCGTTTCATCGAAATGAACATATTGTCTGGTCAATATTGGGTATCGAAGAATATCATTGGAAAAATACGTGATGTAAGTCACGATAAATCGTAATAAAAAAATTTACAAAAACGAGTAAAATTTCACGTGATTGTTTCACATCGATTATGAGATAATTCAAAGGCGCATTCCTTTTATAATATAATTTTGCACAAAAAATAAAAAAGAATTATTAAACTTCGATCGAGTTTTGTAATCATAACAAAAAAATATCGGTTTAATTGGCTTAACTAATATAATATAATTAATAAATAAAATAATAATATAATTGATTTTAATGAAATTTCACACAATTGTTTATTGAATCAATCTAAAAATTTTATTATATTTTTTCCAGAATTCTTAAGTCAACACGAAAAACAATTGGATAAAATTTCATTTAAAATTGATATATCAATTATCGATGTTTCTTTATAAATTTCAACTGTTTCATTTTTATCTTCTAATTTTCTTTTAATATAAAATAATTAAAAAAAAAAGAAGAAAGAGAAGATTTAGAGAAAATTTAATTTTTTAAGACGTGAAAATAGAAAGATTTCATCCTATAAAATAAACTCGAGATGTATTTCTATATTAAGACCAATCGTTAATTATTATTCGTTATTGATCGTTTTGAAATTGTTCATTCTCAATATCTTGTATTGTATCTTACAATTTCGTTTAGACGAATTTACGATTCAATTCAATGATTAAAAAATTATCCTATACAATTTTTTATAAACAGTTTTAAAATCGCCTATCTCTCTCTCTCTCTCTCTCTCTCTCTCTCTCTCTCTCTTTCTCTCTCTCTTTCTCTCTCTCTTTTTCTTTTTATCTCTCTCATCTATCTATCTATCTATCTATCTATTTATCTATCTATCTTTTTTTTGCTTTCATAGATAGAATAAATTCTTTTCACGGGTATTAAATACAAGAGGAATAAAAAGAACCAATAGAAAAAAGAATAAACGGACGAACGCGATGTTGAATCACGATACAATTGCTACCGCGACATTGACTTTAATTCTATTTTTATATTTACTCGGTAAAAGGTATAAGCTAGTATGTTGTGTATCGCGTGTATGCTTTGTGACGAACGATAAATACGCGATATTTGTCAAGTCATGTAACATTTTTACATTTTTACTTCTCGCGTAGTTTGACGCGACGTCTCACGACTAAGAGTGATGTTGCGTGAAATAATTCTTGAAAAATAGCGACGCGATATAGAACAAAAGGTATTGCTTATTCTGATCGAATCAGAGCAACGATCATTCTTTGTTTTCCGTCACTTGGATTTTAATTATTCTAACTGACAATTTGTTACACAATGATTGATTCCAACAATAATAATAATTGAAAAATATACGTGTAGTATAATTGCATAATATAATTAAGAAATAATAAGATTTTCTTCCTTCGAAGAATTAGCAAAAAAGATGATATTTGAAAATATATGATTAATAATATTAAATGTATAGATTATTTGAAAAATAAATATAATAAATAGTTATTTTGTTTTCTATTCTTTCTAAAAATGAAAAAAAGTTACATAAAAATAAGTTTAAACAAATTATTCAAAAATAATATATTCTTCTACGAGTCAATTAGAAAAATTAATCTACATGAACAATGAAAATTAATTTCATTAAAAATATATTTTTCTATTTCTTTATCAATATTAATTAATAACTTCTGCAAGAATGTATAATTACATAATAATATATCGAAATCAATCTCACTTTTTATCCTAATTATTTTAATTAACGAAAATTTTTGTTAATATTTTTGAAATTAACGTTATTTTCAATATTTTGTTTACTAAATTTTGCAAGATGTAATATTATCTATTTGAATATTACAAAATTTCATGCTCGACTGATTTTATTCGCGAAAGATATAATTAACTTGTTTCTTTTACTCGTTCCTTAGCTTTGCTTGTTTTCCTTTCGATATAACTACCGAACTCGTCTATAATTAAATTGTTTTAACCATGATGTGCAACATTAAATCTATGAACAATATTATAAATAAAATTTATAATATTGTGTTTACGATATAAATCTTTACCTAATTTTTGAAACAAAATTTAATCTATGATCTTTCTAGATTGGATATTTATAATATTTTCTTTTTTTTTCAAATAAAAATTCTTAACTTATAACTTCATTTTTGATAAAATATCTATTAAATTTATAAAATATTTCTTTAATTTTATCTTTTTTCTTCAAAATCTCTTATTTTTTGTAATTAAAATTTTCTTATTTTCTGCAATTAAAGTTTCCTTATCTCTTCATTCACCTCACAAAAACATTCAATCGTTCTTCCAATACCAAATAATTGTCACTTTTCCGCTGGATTTCTCGAACACATAAAAGGTTTCTCGTTACCACGCCACGTATGCAAAGTAGAGAGAATATTTGCACCATGGTATTATATTCGAGCATTCTTAGGCAATAGAGATAACGATTAATTATCGATCAATGAAAGAGGAATAATAATATACGAGAGATCAAAATATCATTCACTAAAATGATGACAAATATTTGATCGAGTAAAATTATAATGGCGTGTCTTGAGCACAAATTATTTCAACCGATGATGGAAAAAATATCCGATTAATTCGTTCGATCATTTAAAACTCTCTCTTCGTCTGTCGAAGTCATCAATTGATTTTTTACTTTGATACTTTACGAAATTATCATATTTCTTGAAAAATCTTTCCAAAAATTTATATAAATTTTTTTACCATCATATTTTTTCTATTTTCAAAGTTGAGATTCATACTCTTGATGCCCAAGATGCTAAAGTATCTATTGAATAATGTTTTAACTTATTTTTTTTATAGCTTCGATATTAACTATTTTAATCTATATTTAATAAGTAAACCCTCATGTTACATTACTTTAAGTTTAATTAAATCATATAAATTTAAAAATTATTATGAAATTTTTTTAGTAGCATCCGATGAATTTACAAAATCATAATTATTTCTCGAAGAAGAATCTTGACCAAAACGAGTAATAATTAATTCATTGAGTCATCGTTATTTCGTATGAAATTAGAATAGTCGGGCAAATTCGACAAATTGCAAACAAGCAAGAGACCGATCTCTTACTTGCTTGTTTCTTTCTTTTCGCATCATGTACGAGAAGTAGAAAGCGTGCATTTAACTTTCGCGAGCATTTTAATGCTTTTTTCTCTTCCAACATACGTTTCCGGGGCAGAGATTCAGTTTAAAATGTTTCGAGTTGTTTCGTTACGATGCTACATATCACGCACAATTTTGTGTTTCTTTTCCTTTCTTCGAAACTCTTATTTCAAACATGAAAGTCAAGTTACACGGAGACTTTTATCATTCAAATTGAAAATTTCCCTTTAAAATGAATTTCAACCATCCGAATCCCGCCAATTCAGATATCTGATTTCTAAAAATTAATATCTTTCATCTTGTATCTTTTGAAAAAGAAAGTATTTGAGAAAGAATAATTATAATTTTTTATTTTCATCATTTACATTCTTGATCGTTATAGCTTGTTTTATTGAATATTTGGCATGTACCATAAGATCATTACAATGGAAATTTATCATTACAATGGAAAAATTCATAATCAATAATTCATAATTGAATAATTTACTACTGCATTAAACTTAAGCGTACTCGTTCATTATTCAACATCGGCATACCATACCATTTTATATCATCTTTTCAAACGATTTAATAATATATATCTCCTTTCGAACAATTTCGCGATTAATTTGATTAAATTTTGATTTTGATTGTTATTCAAATAATCGATGATTAACTATTATTATTTAGATAAAAGTTTTCATTTTAAAAAAAAAATTACATCCATTATTTTATTTCGTTTAAAGTTTTATCATGCGAATACAAGAAAACGTCAATGTATAATTTCAATCGATACCTCGTTACTCATTACTATATTTGCAGAAAATCTTATTGCAAATGTTAATTATATTTGTACATTGTACAAAATCATTAAAGATATATTTATTGGTATGTTTCCAAGTAATAATTTTGCAAGTTCGCGTAGAAAATCTTGATTTACCGCAAAACTTCTATATAAACCCATCTGGTTCCACTTATCGTAGATATATGTAAATGTTGCAGCGATATTGTCTTCCATTAAAGACGAATATGAATTTTCAGTAATAATTAAAATATAATAACTTTAAAATATTAAATGATTAATTCTGTACATCTTTTCTTTGTAGAACATGATTTCTTCAAAGATATAGTTCCACGACAAATACCAAGTTAGGAAAGGAAAACGAAAAGACCATTTATTCGCACAAATATATCGCATAAAGTATTCAATTTGAATTTGTTTTTCAATTTTCAAACGAAAAAAAAAAAAAAAAAAAAANAAAAAAAAAAAAAAAGAAAAGCAAAAATTCGATTATGTTCTATATTCACAATAGAATCCGGCTTTTGAAGCGGTATCTCAATATCTAGACTTTCTTTTTCAATGGCATCGGTATAACGCCACCCAGGAACGCTATATAATTTGAACTTTTCTGTTATAGTGACACGTGCAATTTATTTTTTCCGGCTCGCGTTTGCTTTATCCCTTTGAAAAATAAAAGTAGCAACAAAATGAAAGCATAAGAGAAACAAAGCTGGAAAAAGAAAAAAAAGGAAGAAGGAGAGAAGAAGCTCAAACAACAGAAGTCTAAGGATTGAAAAACGTGCAGCATTATCGCGATAATACAACGACGTTTTCAATGGACAGCGCACGACTGTATCCATTATTATTACCTTTTTATTTTTATTGCCGTACGTGTGGCTGTCACAAAATATCCATTTCCAGACTTGTGTACCATCCCCTTGTCTCGAATCGATGCACGATCGTAAACTTGTTGTCTTATAACTGCGCATTAATAGTCCGCACGAAATTGAATGTTCAATTCGAACGACTGAAATCATTTCGCTATAATGTTTTCTAACGATGAAAACAGGAAAGAATCGACTAACTAATTCGATATTTCCAAAGCCTTCTTTATCCCGGGATGAAATAGAATGTTATATAATTAGGTGAAGTTGGTTTGACCCTGATCTAAAAGATTATGTGGAAAAAATCTATTATATTTATTATTATAAGCAATAACTAATTAAGTTAAATGATCAATATTTCCAAATGATAAATAATAAAATTTCATTTTAAAGATATTTTTATATTCATAATAAAGAAAATTTTATAGCAATTTTATCAATTTGAGAATTTCTCGTGATCTTAAACATCAAAAATATCAACCAAACTTTCTTAGGAATTCCTTTTTTCTCAACTTCAACCAAAGTGTAACGAAGATTAAAAACGAGATACCTCAATTGGACAATCGTTATAATCAATTACACAGGTAGACATATTGAAAGAACAATGTGAATCATTCAAACTCCATAGTATCTGTTGAAATTACTTTGTAACGATATTTAATGAAACTGAAATTATTTCAAACAATGCAGATTCGCAAAAATTACCTAAATTTTTATTTATTTTACTATCTTTATTCGCTCGAATATCATTCCTTTTTCAAAGAAAAATTGTCAATAAAATTTTCTAAGTTTTAAATCTGGATAGATGGAACAAAAGATAATTTATTCTATAAAAAAAATTGTTACGGAATTTATTCCTTTATCAATTGTCTATTTTCTAAATTGCATTGATAATTCAATAAGAACGAAAGGAAATTTAACTTTTCCTCATCTTTATTTATTAGGAATTGTATTTTTATATTTAGGATTCTATAGGATTGAGACGACTTGAATTCTCGTTGTTAGACACGTGAAATTCTTCGAAACAATATCTGAGTTAAATTAGAATTGATTTTAAATGCGGAATGTGGAAAAAATGAACAGGTGCAGACGAAAGATTCGATTTAAAACTAATGGATCGTACATGTCGCTGAATTTCTTCCAAGTGAAATAGCGTAAAATTGTATTGATATACATTTATATACATCTTCAAATCCAATATCCAAAAACTAAAAATAATAGTTCCTTTTTTACAAAAATATTCACAAAAATGTTTATATTTTTTTAAATAAAATGTAATAATAAATTCTAAAGAGATTTTTCAGAGAAAAAATTGAAAAATATTAATTTTTGAAATACTTTTTTTATAAACGGATCATTACTTGTAAAAGTATTACTAATTTTTTTCATTATATAAACAATTAATAATTATATCTAGATAATTATTTGCGATGAAAGAAATTATTTTTAATTAAAAATAAATATTATTACGAGGATTTTTTTCTAGTTTTATATGATGATTGAAAGTTTAATAAAGATGATAAAGATTGAAATTTTAATAAAAAAAATTCAGATATTAAATGATTGATTTTTCGGAAAATCTTGTATATCTTGCACGTATCTGTTTTATTTATAAAACATATAATGATCAAAAAGAACTAAATTTTTTTCCTTATAGGTTATTTATTGAGAATCATTTAAACCAAAATATAAATTGAAAGCATAATTTTTTCTTATTTTTATTTTATTTTATTTTAATATATAATATATAATAATATTTGAATATAATTAGAATAGAATAAATTTTTATAGATAATAATATTAGTTTCGAAATATAATTTTCTTTATTAAATTTACAATTGAAAAAAATATTCGTATGTTTCATGAAATTATAAAAATATATAACATATATTTATTTTAAATAAGTAATTTCAAATTTTATAAAATAAATAAATAAATTATAATAATATTAATAAGAAAAAAAAGAAATGAATTCTGTCAAGAAACTGTTATGATCTAATTCTTATCTTCCAAGTTATAGCAATTAAATAAAAATTTATTTAATTGGATTACGCATACACGGATCATCTTCTACGTTAAATATATCATAACTAGAAGCAGTAATTTCTGAAAACAACTTTAAATATAATGAAAACTTTATTGAAATGAAAAGATAACATGTACGTTTCATAAAAATATAATTATTAAAAAATAATAAAATAATTCCATGTCTACATGATTATACAGACTATACAGATTATATTTATTATTAGAAACGAATATATGAATATTTAGTGATTCTAAACTGATAAAGACATTGAAATAAGTTTATAAACTAAAATATCTATTAAGAATTATTTTTTAAATCGTAAAGATTTAATTTCAAATTAGCAATCTTTGTAAACAACCAGTCAATGACCAATATCATAGTATAATATTCCACCAATTTTACTCATATATAAATATTGTTAATATATTTAAAAATTATTTGACAAATAATAGCCTTGAACCGAAATTTTAAAATTATGATTTAGAATTCCCTCTGTATATGCGAATAAACTTTTTTTAAGGATTTGTTTACGTAAGACAACGTAACATAAAAATTTTGAACATAACGTGAACATAAAAATTGAATGAAAAAAAAATTGCTATGTTGATCGAGATTTATTTATCAAGCAATTTAACTTTACACTAGTTAAAGCGAGGCCGAAATAATATAAACTATTAATTATTTAAAAATTAAATTGCTTTTATTTTTAAATTATGTCAGATTTTTATCTCAAATATTTAAAAAAGATTAAAAATTTATATCGTTACATAGTAAAAATTAATAAGATAATTTTGTATTTATTTTTTCAAAATGAAAAATCATAATTTAACATCAAAAATATTAATATTAATATTAATATTACTGATTCGTAGTAATATTTTTAATATAATTATAAATTTTAAATAATGTAAATTAATATCTCACCTAATAAATAAAATAATAATAAATAAAATAAAACTTGTTTATTCCAGCAACGGAGGACAAATTCGATCTTGTATATAGAAAGAAAACTATAGATGATAAGGATGGAGTGGAGATAACGTGCATGGCAGAAGGGTTATATCCAATACCCACTCTGGATATATCTATCGAGTAAGTACTTCAACAAGCTTTCCAACCTCTCAACCATGCACTACGATCAACTATTTTCCGATTTTCCGATTTCTTTTAGATTTTGATAAAAACGAACTTCTCCTTCGTTGTAATGAATTAAATATTTTATATACACAGTATATATCATATGATACGTTATTATTTTAATTTTAAAAAAATAAGATTTTAATAAATATATTTTATGAAATTATTCATTAAAATGTAAAGCAATGTAAATTATTTATAATATTTTGTAAATTTATACAATTTTATTTTCTTATTAAAAAAGACTAATAAATAAATTTTAATAAATTACACAGTAATATAATTATTCAACTAAAAAGAAATTTCAATTAAAGAATATAAATCACTGCATATATGTATAATAATTATATAAAATTATAAAAGCTTCTTGTTAAATAATCGAGAAATAATATTTCGTATAAACGATAACAATTTAATAATAGAAATTCTTTTACAGGAATATCATAAAAGATATATAACAAAAATATAAATGATAAAAGCATTTAAATGAAAACAAATGAAGAAATCATTTTATTTTTAACGCTGAAAACCTCTTAATAATAACAACGAAAATTGCCTAGTAGTGATAATACTATTATCTATGATAATAAAAGAAATAGAATAGAAACACACAGATGAATCGTATAAAGGGACAAAGTATAAATTAAATTGAATTAAAAAGCATCATTATTATTTTAAATAGTCCTTACAATTTTCAAAAAAATTTTTAAAATATCATATCAATCGATTATCGTAATTATTTTACTTTTTGACAAATGCCAGCGCATATATTTAGCTTATGTATATGTTTAGATTACTTCTTGTAATATATAATTTCAAAATACATATATAAATATGATGTAAACAATTATTTCTAGTTTATGAAATTATTTATGTATATATTATTTTTCATGGAAAATTAAAAATAATTATTTTTAAACGAATCAAAAAATATCAAATCTTAAAAAAAATCTTTTCTATAAAATTAAATTATTTTGTATTTTAAAAGATTAGACAATTGAAAAATTAATTGATTTTTCATGATTTTGAAATTGTGTAATATTGAAAATTTTTCGAATATTTAAAATATATTTAAAAACGATTAAAAATTGTTTATTTTAATCTTGATTACTTTAAACTTTACTTTTATTTGAGTATTTAAATTTTAATTTAAATCTCAAAAAAAATATACATACAATTTAAAATTGAAGAAAGAACTTTAAATTTACAATTTATCAAATTTCAAATTATTTTCCATTTAAAATTTTCACAGCAACTCGAACTATAATCTCAACATTCTTCTTTATCCCGTAAACATTATTATAGATAATCTCAAATTCCTCGATCCAAAGTAAAATTATTATTATTAACCAAGTTTGAAAATTATATCGAGGTATCGAGGCGCTCAAAGTTTACAAGAACAACAACAACGATAACGAAAAGCAAACAAGATAGAGTGTGCATCTTCGAAATAATATCAACATGCTAATGGCCTGTTCATTTGGTCGACATATTGCATGATATTTTGGGTTGGAACGTAGCCATGATAATTTTGCAAACGTCGTTTCCATTGTAGGGGTGTCCTGGAAAAACAAGCAGCAAAGCCCACTGTTACGCTGCGTGCCGATGGACTGTACGATATCTTATCACGGACGGCCTTATTGGACGAAGATTTACCGGAAACAGCGATTGTCAAATGCTTGCTCGGTATACCGAAGGTGAACTACAATGTTTCCCGCAAAACTGTCTACTATCCCGGTTAGTATACATGTGATTTAATCTGTTCCATCTATCTTAATCTTTCTATTCTTTCCTGTATCCTTTCTCTTCTCGCATTGAAAACATTTTAACTTGGATTTTTTCATTCCAATTATGAGGAAGAAAAAAAAAAGAGAAATAAATAGAAATAGAATTAGAATAGATATTTCATTTTTCCCGAAATCTTGCTTAAAAATCCATTAATATTAATCATTTAATAAAAACGGGACTGGATTTGCTCGTATCCGATATATTTGCCTGATGAAGCTTGCTTGTATAACCTGGATAAGTTCGCTTGATTGTTTTAAATCGTTTATTTTAATCTTGTTTTTAATGTTTTTTTTTTTTGAAATTATCCTCGTTTAGTTTACGAAACATATAAGAAATATCTACGTCCTTACAAAGATATGTATGTCTTTTTATTTTTCGAGTAAAGTATATCAAAAAAATATAATAAATATGTATTAATTTAATTCGGATCATAATGTACCAAATAAGAAAATAAATATAGAAAATAAATTCATTCATATATATAAATATTATAAAATCTCTTTATATAAAAGTATTCGAAATAGTTAAATATATATACAGATAAAAATATATATACAGATAAAGTTAGACCGAAATAATCAATTTTTTTTTTTTTTTGCTTTTCTGTAAAATTTTATACTCATCATATCATGAATCATATTCAAATAGATATTGATATTATTGACGTTTTAAAAAAAAAATTATTCTGAGAAACAATTTAGAAAATTTTAATCAATATAATAATAATTTTATAATTATTATATTAATAATATTATATTAATAATAATATATTTTTGAAACGAGCTTCTATAATACTCAACAATTTTCATTTTATTATGAAGATAATTGCAAAATTATTTCTATTATTTTCAAATATTTCAAATATTTCGTAATAAATTCATTTGTTAAAGTGAATACTTGCTAAAAGTTTCGTTAAAAATATGACACTAATTCATAAATATATCGAAAATATAATATCTCTATCCTGAGTCTATATGTTTTCTCTATCCAATAGTAATGAAAAGATTTTTTTAGTTTGCGTATAACTGTACTTCTTATGAACGTATAAGAAAAAATAAATTCTAATAATTCAATTGTTACTAATATTATTAATAATATTAAAATAAACGAAATATATCAATCATTTATAATATCTGTCTTCTTTTTGATAAAATTAAAAATGATTCAAATAAAAATTAAATGATCTAGAAGAAGGTATAACTTTATATTAATAATTTTTTTTTTTAAATTAAAACGTATTCAATCAAGAAATCAATTTCCTCTTTTTTAAAACTTAGATTCATCTAATTTTTATACATTAATCAATACGGCATATTATTTTTTATAAAAAAGAGTAATAACTTATTTTCAACATAAAAACTAATAATAATAAACTAAAAAATTAGTTTAAAGTATATTTGAATTAATGGAATTAATTGAATATTTGAATTAATGGAAAACAAAAAAGTATAAAATAAATATTAAAAAATTTAAATTAAAATATTTTATGCAATAGTTTTTCATTAAAAATAGATCAATATTTTTCTATAAAACAATGATCGATTAATAAATATACTAGAAAATATATGATTTTTTATAAAAATAAAAAATTACAAAAAGTTATTATCATCAAATTACATAATTTTTGCTTCTTTTAATTTTTATTCGAAACATTTTTTCTTTCATCATCGAAACAAAGTGAAATATTAAATGATCAAACTATTTCATTATTTTATATATACATGTGTGTGTGTGTGTATGTGTGTGTGTGTGTATGTGTGTGTGTGTACTTGCTGTACATGTACTTGCATATCGAGCTGAGCTCAGAAGATGAACTACGACATTTCCATATAAATACACACATATACACACGCGTGCGCGCGTATGTATGTGTCCTATATATGTTTACATATATATAAAAACATTAAAGTAATACTTTATGTCAACGTTAAATTTCGAAACAATACTTTTTCTTTGAATTGTTAATAAATTATCCCCTACCACTGGATTTATATATATATTTTTTCAGTTCTATCGAGAACTCATAAATGTCCGCATTTTCATTTCCATAAAGAAATATTGGAACACACGCATGGATATTCATTTTTATTCGAATTAGCCTCTTGGTAATGTAGTAACATTAAAAATAATGAAAACTACAGGAATGAATTATTTGGAAAGTTTTCGTTTCGAGAAAAAATTCGAGACTTCGAATGAATATTTTATAATTCTTCAACCGAAAGTAGAAAATAAATAGAAAACGCAGTAAAAAGTGAAAGTATCGAAACATAATTTTACAGGAAAAAATCTTTCTTAAAATCTATGTAAAATATAAAATCCGATAGCTCTAATCACCATTATTCTCGACTATTCTAACTACGAGTAACGTTGGGCTAAAATTATCTTAATCAAGCATGCAAGCGTTCTAGCTTATTATACGTATCCTTCCATTATCTCCGTAACGTCTGATCCCCAGTCCAAGATGACATTCCAGCGACAGGAGTCGGGTTCAAAGGGCAAAGTCCTAAGAGGATGGCTCGCGTCGATGGGTCAAGTAGTGGGCGTCAACGAGTGTTGGCGTGTGCATCACGTTTACTCACAGACGACCAGGTATTTGCGGTGAAACTTGTAACCCTCGTCCTTCCTCTTACCTCGTTATCATCTTGGTCGAAGAAGGGTTTTCAGTTCGTCCGATTGTAGTCGTGGCCGTCGCGGTGTAGACTAAATTACATACAGGTTAAATTGCTTGTACTCCGCAAACCAGCACGCCCTGTCTATTATCGTCCAATTTTCTCCCACTTTGTCAGATTAAATTCTCGTTCCACAACTGTCCCATTCAGGGAGCTCTTTTTTTCGAAAGATTCAAAGGAAAAACACGGAGGATGATCTTCCTTCGCGACACACGATTCCTCGTCATAGAACTCGTTTTCACACAAGAATAGATTCTTCGTTAGCCCTTCGTTCCTCCCACGTGTTTGCCAATTTGCGCCTGTCTATTCGACAGTTGAGCGCGTGACCAGCATCATTATTCGCTGCCGAGCTTCTCGTCGGCCGACTTATTATCGATACCTACTACCGGCTACGATAGATCAGCAGAGCAGATTCACGAAAACTTCGACCGAATAATAATTGACCTTAGTCGTTCGACGATTCCGGATAAATGAGAATTCGTCAAGTTAATCAAGTAAGAAACTTTATCCGAACGAAAATTCCGATTTTTTCAGATTTTGGTGTACAATCAAATTTTGTTTTGGATACTAAATTAATAAATTGCATGATTGATAATTGTCTCGTTTTATAAATTTTCATTGAAATTTTAATTAAAAATTAATTTTAATTTACATATATTTGTTTAAAATTAAAATAAATTGTAAAAAAAGTTTTCGATTCTGAAAATGTCCGAAAAATTCGATTCTGAAAAAGAAATCCCTCAGCTCTTATTCATCGCTATTTATCACTATTTTCGAATAATCGCTAAAATATTTTATTACTTTACCATGTAAAACAATCTACAAGTAACAGGTTGATAAAATTTATTATATTTAAGATGTCGTATCTCCGATCTAATAATTCTTCAAGTCCAGAAATTTTTCATATTCTTTCTTCTTTTAATTCAGAAAATAATCAACGTAAAATATGTATAATATTTCGCAATCAAATTTAGAAAATTATGCATATATAATTTTTAGAAAATTATACATAATACAATCGAATATCGTTTTATAATTTTCGTTAAAAAATTTAAGTTATCTTATTTAATTTAATATTTGTTTTATTAATATTTATTTTAATATTGTTTTTAATAAAAAATCTTTTCAATTATGGATTGGTATGGATCGAATAAAATAAAAAATATAATAATATATAGATATTTAAATATATTTTCTTTAATAAATCTAATTTTGATATATTTTTAAATTCTAAGTTTCTGAATTAACGTGTTGTAAAATATTATCAAGATTATTATTATCATTTTTGTCTTTTATTAAAGTAAAATAATTACGAAATTTATTTTCCCAGATGTAACAATTGTTTGTAACAATTGTTTGTTTGTTGATTTTTCTCATTTCTTATTGAATAACTCATGCCGAAAATTTAGTTTCTTTACACGATTATCTCGTTTATTTGTCAAGAAATTAGCATTAAAAAAGATTCGTGAAGTTTCTCAAACATTACAATGAAATAATAGTTGAAGTAATAATAAATAATATTGAAGTAATAGTCATTTTAACGTTCTACTATGAAACATTAATTATCCAGTCGAAAGAATTTCCATGGGAATATACTTATGTACTATATATATATATATATACTTATATACTTAATATACTAAAATTAAATATACTATATATGTATGTATACTATGTATTTTTCCATTTAATATCATGATATTCTTATATTTTTTAAATGATGAAACTAAAAGTCGAAAAAATTTTATAAATAAAAAAATATTTGTAAACATAATATAAAAAAATTCTTGCGATAAATTCAAATTTGCGAATGATTCAATTTTTAATCATAACTTTGTTTGTTCATTTTTATATTGCCATATTTGCACGTGATTTGAGAATGTATGATTAAACGAACTTAAATGCATGCGCATACTTATAATATATATAATGTGTTCTTAAATTCTTCGTTTCTTCATTTATTTAATCTTTTGATCGATCTTTTTTCTTCATTTATTATTAACAATCGTTTTTGAATATTTTATATTTTCATCATTAAATTATATAAATAATTATATAAATTACGTAATACATAATCTATAATATAAAAGTTCAATAATATCATAATTTTTGTAGATTATACACAATTGGAAAGATATTTATAATCAATATAATTTTCTTGTTTTCATAATTTCTATTTTTTATTTTTTCATTCTTCAATTATTTTTTTTTATAATAAATTTTCTTCTCAAATTTAAATTTCAAAATAAATCAAAATCAAATAGTAAAAAATTTAAAAATTTTACACTCAATATATGTTGCTTATCAATATACGTGTTTTTTCCTGAAAGAAATTTTCATATCAAAAGAAAAACATTCCTATTACCAATTTAACTATTACCAATTAGAATTAATTAAAATCTTAATTGGCTGTCTTCGTTTCTAACATTTTGACTATCTCAGTTCGTAGAAATATATATGCTTACTATTTGATGGACGCGATATGTGGTGTTTATTGTGCAGGACCGCCTACTACTACTTCAACCTCTACAACGAAGCTGCTGCAAAAAATGGAGATCCAAGCGCTAGACAAGTCAGAGCCTGGCAATGGTGGTGGTAAGACTTGTAAATTTCTCCTCGTCTATTCACGACATCACCACCATAAGCCACTATCGTCCATGAGAATTGGAACTTGGACAAGATCGATAATATTATCTTTCTTGCACACGGGATTCCAATTGCCGGACGTTCCATGCCCGAATTTGCCGAAAACCTTAAATGCCCTGGGCTCCTAATTTTCCTAATTAAGATTTGAACACGTCACAAAAAATATATGATATTTTCCGCTTAAATGCGATTTGAGGCTAAACGATTCGGATCCGAAAGAGATTCACGTGTATTAATTTTATATTATATTTTATCGACTATAACAAATTGTTTTGATTATTTAAAATGTAGAAAAATTGTAGAATAAGACAAAGAAAATTAAATATCTGCAATATAAATAAGTGCAAATAAGATTCTCGATAATAAAATCGGTTCTAATTCAGCTATGATTCAAAGTAAAACGAAAATCGAAGAATATTAAAATTCTAGTATGTGCTTATCTTATTTTCGAAAAAAATTAATTTCAAATTCTCGTATATATGACAAATTTTCAATTAAAAATATGATTGAACAATAAACTTTCAATAAACTTTCTATAACTATAAAAAAATACTTTCTATAAAAAAAGCAAAATAAAATAAAAGTAAAATATGCAGAAAATTAAAATATTTATTTATATAAATTATCTATATATTTATATATTTATAGATCGTGCTAAATGTATAAATATATATAATATGTAAACGCGTGAAATAAATTTATTTTTACATCATAACAAAACACAATTAAAAAATTACATCACAACAAAAAATAATCTCAATTGTGCAAAATTACAAATAAAATTTCGATTTTTTATATAAAAAGTATATGAAAAAAAATTAAAAATTTCTCATCAAAATCTATTCAAGAAATAAAGAAAATCATTAGTTATTTTTTTCATCTCAATCATTGTCAATATATTCATGAGAATATAAAAAGTATTTTTATGAAGACTCAAAGTAGTACAAAATAGTACAAAATTATAAATGAAACATTCAGGAATCGTATCTGTTATTTGTCAAAAGTTTCAAATTAATTACTAATAAAGTCTGAACGAGAAGTTAAAACCATAAGATCGAAATAATGAAAATTATCCTCTTTTTTACACGACAATATCTTACGAATTAATTATCGAATTGAAATAAATTAAAAAAAATTTTAATAGAATAAAATTTCACATTTTTAATTCATTGATTGTAAATCAATATACATATATTGAAATTATAAAATTGTTTTTCAATTTTAATAAAATTTAATTTAAAAAAAAGTTTTAATAAATTATAGATATGATATGATAGATATTATTAATTATAGATATGATAAATATTTATATAATTTATTTCTGAAAAAATATTGTTTACAATTTTATTAATAATACATTGAAAATTCTTAATTAAATTAATTGGATTTTTTTTTTATTAATTTCGATTGATTCAATTTCAATTGCATTATATTTAAAATTGTTATGTATAAATTCTGTAAAAAAATTTTTTTTATAAATTCAACCAGTAGAAAAAGAAGATTCTTTGATATCATAAACATTTAATTGTTAATAACTAAGAAACAAAATCGAAAATATAATTTTCTTATTCTTAATTTTTGTTTTTTAAAGACTACAGATTTTCCCAGATTTATACAAAGAATTACAGAACATTCTATGTACTTAAAAATTTTATTTAAATTAAAAAGAAAAAAATAGTTTTTAAGAGTATTCAATTAATTTATTGTTTTGTCTTTTTTCAGTTCTTTGATTATTTTACATTGCATAGTATATTCAATATATTCAATATTAATCTATTAAAAATTATTCGTGAGTTACTTATTACTAATAAATATAATTAATAAATATACTTTCTTTTAAAAAAAAGGTTGATTTATTAGTAAAATTTAAGTCTTAGTTTATTATTATTTTCTAGAAGAAATATCGTCTTATTTTTAAGAAATATCTTAATAAAGAAAAATAATTTACAAATATTATAAATTGAATATATTATATATGAAAAATTTATAAGTTTTTGTTTCCATGATTTTGTCAATGTCAATTTTTAAATTTATTGAAAATATTCATTATTTATACAAATACAAATATTATTACACGTGAATTTTCTTTCTGAAAAATTTCTTGAAAAAATCGTTTGCTTCGAACCAAATTTTAAATAATTTTTTTGGCATCATATTTTCCGCACTTTATTGCACTTTATTTGATTTGAGGCACTGATATTCAACATTATATTATATTATATTAGAACATTTTAGACACATCGATATGTCATTTTTTTAAAATCACTGCTTGCATATGATCTCCAATTTTTACTTCTTTACTCCATATTTTCAATAAATGTTAAAATGTTAACTTTAATTTTAATAGTGTAAAATAAATTAAAAATTAAATTTTTATTTATGTCAAATAATAATATACTATTATTTTATTTATATTATTTATTGTTATATATAATTCAACATTTATTTAATAATTGAAATATAAAATTCTTTTTTCATTTTTCATTTTCATCGATTCAATCTTCTTAAAATTTTTGAACGATGTAAATTCAATTATTTTGAAATTCAAATATTTCTAACATGATTAACGATTAACACAGCATAATTCATCTTACGTATTACCATTCTCACCGACAATTAAAATATTTATATGATAATTATAATTGAATATCGCCTATTCTAGTAAAATAATCGATATTTGTATAGAAAGAAACACGCATAATTTCTAAAATAGCATAGTAAATAAATAAATACGAAATATCCACAATACGTTTTATAATGAAACTATACGTTTCTTCGTAAATATTTTATCATTAATATTTATATAAATTCAAAGATAAATCAAACTTGTGAATGTAATAATTGTCTTTCACATGATAATTTTTTTTCAAAATCAAGTTATCACGATTGCATTTATAATAAAAAGAAAAACGAATATGTAATTTTGATACATAAAAAATTGCTATTAAAAAATTGCAAAAAGAATTTTGTTCCACAATGACAACATTTGATCATAAATAGAAAAAGTAATAATTATAGAAAAAAATTTAATAATTTGATTTAAACATTTGATCATAAATAGAAAAAGTAATAATTATAGAAAAAAATTTAATAATGTGAATAATATTAATATATATTTTATATATATACTTTTAATAAGGTAAGGAATTATATAATCTTTTTATATTTATATATATTTTACTATAAAATTATTTAAGTAACAAAATATAGATTATAAAAGAAAGAAATTAAAATATTTCTTTTTTAAGATTATTAAAACGATATTATAGTTATAAATTAATAATCTATAATAAAGTATAAATATTCACGAAGAATAGATATTCTTATGAAATAATAATTTTTAACGCAATTAACACATTTCTTTTTGACTTATCTTTTCTTTTTCTTATTCTTTTTTTTTTTATTTTTGTTTTGCACATTATTTAAAAATATACGGAAAACATTTGGATGAAAAAAGTTTGTATGTGATGAAACATTTTAAAGATGAATATTCCAATATATTTTCGATCAATATTACGATAAACAACGAATCATCTGAAATTTAGTTGGACTGTTCGATTTTCCGATGCAATATCGCTTATATCGCGTTTCTCATTTCCTCTAAAGAAGTCCTATTTCCGTGATAAAAAGAAGCTGACGAATTTTTTTGTGTATTCATCGACTTCTTTCTCATCGACATCGTTTCTCATCGCATGATGGAAGCACAGTTCGCAATGTTATTTCTTTTTTAAATAAAAATAATCAAAAAGTACATATTATATTATGTTATTTATAATATTATAAATATAATATAATTGTTTATAATATTATATTACTTATAATATAAGTATATATTACTTATATTACTTATAATTATAAAAATTGAACTGAAAAATTTTTCAAAACCTCGAAGAATTGCAAAATATTATAAAAATGAAAATGAATTTGCACTGCATGAAAAAAAATTGAAAAAAAAGCACATTTTAATTCAATGGAATAAAACAAAGAAAATTACGCGATAAATGCTGTTTATTTTCGTTTAACAATTTTAATGTATTCGTTTGAAAACTAATCGATTAAAATTTAATTTAATTTTACGAATAATATAATACATATTTAATATATTTAATATAATACATATAATATAATACATATTTGTTGCTCTATAAATTTTTTTTAAGATAAAAGATAACTTGGATCGTTAAAACTTAAATACAAAATACATAGAAAATATTGTTAATGATTTAATTTGATTAAAAATTTAAAAAACACGAACAAATTCTCATTGAAATTCAAAAAATTATGAAACTCTTAAAATGTATAAAATATATAAAAGATAAAAAATCAAATTCGTTCTATAATATATAAAAAATAGCTTTATTATTTGATATGTTTTTAAATTAATTAAAATCAATAATTTTTATCTTAAAACATTTTTACTATCTCTTTACATTTGCTTTATGAATTACAAAATCGAAATATAACTAATTAACTTTAATTCCTAATTTTAACAGTTAATTTGGATAGGAAAAAATTAACTATTATAAACTCATATATTTTATATATAATCCAAAATTTCATAATTTTTTGAATTTTTAGAATGGAAAACTTTCCTTATCTTTAAATTCCACAAAATTCTAAATTCTAAATTTCACAAAATAAATATAGATAAAACTCAAATTTTTTGTTAAAATTTCGTTTTCTCAATCATAAATTATTCTATTTCTTATATATTTTCTTATTTCTTAATATATTTTCAATTCATTATATTGTTTAAGTTTATCATCATGTAAAATATAAATAAATTATATTATATAAAAGAAAATTTTAAACCTTAAAATAAATGTTTTTAGTGTTTTAATTTTAACAAGTTTTAACAATATCGTGTTTTAATTTTCATTTATGTACAAAAATCTAATTTTCTCTTCTAAATCATTAAAAAAAGAAAAAAATAGAAAAAAAAATGTTTTATATATATATATATATATATAAAATAGAAAAAAAATTGTTGAAAATGACTAAAAATATGGGTATATATATATATATATATTCTATTTTTTTCTTTTTTTACTAATTTAAAAGAGAAAATTAGATATATATATATATAGTCATATTTTTAGTCATTTTGTGTACATAGTAGATTAATCTTCTGAGTTTAAAATCAAGTATCATTGAAAGATAAGATTAATAAACTAACGGCGGTGTAGGTTCTGGTCGAAAGGGATGAAGGAAAACGGG